ATGAACATGCATATTATTAACTTTAATTGAAATGTCAAAAATAACGATTAACATTATAACAGTAAATCAGTTGAAATAAACCATTTCAACATGTAGATCTCCTTTCTTTTCATCTTAAACTAAAGGAAACAAACTGTAACGCAACCATAGTCTGTTTTTTATAAGTTAGACAGCAATATTTACATTTTTCTCTATATGTTCTATGATATATAATTTTCACCTCACCCAAAACACATGTTACCTTCAAATTAAACAGATTTCACTCAACTAATGTTGTAGTATTTTGTCTAATGGGCTGTCATGGTTAGTAGCCAACTATATGTCAAGCAGCTATCAAGGGTTAGGGTAAGATTACCCCTTGCTGATTTTTTCTACCTGCATCTTGCTGATGAACAGTTTTAACCTCTAAGCTGATTTTAATTACCTGGATGACTTACAGACCGACATCTTGTTGATAATTAGAGAAAAAACATAAATACTTGATGTTCAGTTTGTTTAATATTATAGGTACATGTATGCCATAAACATACATTGTGCTAGGGCTAAATCTGCCTATTGCAGGTGTTTATTTAGGTCTGACACCGTATCTAAATTATTAATAAGACATTCATTAACACGTAAAGACCATAATCAACTCTCCATGCCATCTTGTGTGCCCGATTTTCATTGGATTTGAATCCGATCTGCTGTTCAACGCTCATTGATGACTAAACGTAAAAATGGATAATCGAGACTTTGTTAAATATCGTGACAGTGGTGACAATGACAACCGAGGCTACAAGTATTTTAAAATAATGTTTTTGTCGGCCTAGGGTGAAGCAATTGGAGTGAAATTTTCAGCATATTCCTTTTACATTATCTAGTGTTTAAATATTATAGTGAGAACTGCTAGCTCTTTATCTAATCTCCCATAATGTATCTTTAATATGGGTGCTGCATTTTGTAGTCGACCTAGCATTTCTTATCCTTAAGTTAAATTTGAAGTACTGGGGTTGTTTACTGGAGTGAGTATATATTTTGTAGTCAACTTGAACCGTTATATATTTCTTGTTCTTAAAGTCGAAGCATCAGGATTATTTACCCGATGTGGGTGACATTTTGTATTTGAGCATGGTTGTATAACTGAAGAGGGGCTGCATTTTGTAATTAGTTTCAATTACAATCGAATCATCGTGATTGTTCAACTGATTGCTGAACAGTGTTGTTTGACTTGTTCGTAAGTTAGATGCATCTACGGATTTGCAGAATAAGTAATTGAATCAACATTGGACGAAAGTTGATGCCAGTTTTCTGATTTGACCGTTTTAGAACTATTTTCAAAATGTCAAACACAGAGCTCAACTCTAATTTCTTCCAATGGCATTTAGTGAACTGGAAATACAAATGTCACAATTACTGCAAGCTGGTTAAAACACAGATCCTATTTCGTTTCGTTTTGTATAGTTCAAAATTTCGTTTTAATTGTCTTCACAAAACTACGATCTGGAAGAGTTGTTATATAACAGGCTTTCTGGTTTATATGAGGAATTAGCCAATGAAACGGCCCGTTGCGGCGAGTCCTTGGCGTGCTGTGCACGAAACTGTGGGTAAACCACTAGATACGTCAACGCTAATCGATTAATCAATGTCTGACGTCATAGGGTCAAAATCCACTCGTATGACCCCTGGCGCGACCTCCCACTACAACTGGTCAGATCTTCTTATTGTAGAGGCCATCGAATGTATAAAAACACAGAACGAAACATAGATCTGTATTTTAATCAGATTGCAATTACTGTCTATGACTGAGCAACGTTTCTACCAAGCTGCTGTATTCCATAGAACTGTGACCTGTGTAATCTCAGCCTTATTTTATCAAGGAAAAGTGTGTAAATCTCGCTATCAGTGAATCAGTGTTACATAAACTATCTGTTTGTGATGAAAATCTTATCATCACCTCGTGCAATCTTATCACCTGAGTTCACCGAGTATATTTTATTCCTTTATGATATGAAGGAGAAAGGAACAACACCATTAAAATGAAATAGATTGAATACATAGTAAGTTGTATGATGATATAGTGGGTATAGGGGATGATGAACTTGTTGATAATGTCACGTGTAGATATGACAGATTAACAAGGGGTAAAATGCGAACCTTGTGTTATACACTATAGATCTGTACTTCCAGAAGTGAATTGTGCTCGTTTTAGTTCACAGGATTGAAAATAAATCAGGAAAAGACTATGTATTGTATGTCTCCTCCAGTTTCCTCCCACTGCTAAAAACCCCTAAGCGCAATCGAATTATTGAAGTAAAATTGAACCATATGTTAGTTCCGAAATGACCTAGTTTGTGTCGAGTGAACGTTAACCCCCCCCCCTCTCTCTCCGGAAGTCCACATTCTATTGTCCTCATTTTGCAGATTTCTACAAAAAGTAAGTCAACATAGGTAACTAGAGCACCGTATCATGGAACAACTTATTGAACTTGGATTTTAGAAATTTCAACTAAACCCATATATCTTAATCTAATAACAGGGGCAAGTTGTTCTTTTCTAACTTTGTCTGTGACAAATCACCGGGCTACTGCTCCTACTATCATTGTATAGATTTTATCCACACGTACTTCAATCGTAAGTTATTCCAGATACTGATACCAAGAAGATCTCTTCATTGCCCCTGGTGAATCTTGGTCACTTTTATATTGCTATATCTGATGAGTGCCTTAATAGGTCAATGATAATATTATCTCTAGCTATCATTGAGAACAGATTGAAGGAATCCAGAGAAAGGATTGAGATATATCTCATATTGATAAAATACTTGACACAGTGTAAACAAAACCTTCTGGCATTTAAAATCTTGGTCAACTATTTACACTGGTCATTTTGATGGATGTACATGTACCACACTTTTAATTGCAATGCCGCATCTGTCGCATTCTAAATACACGACATCCTGCTATTTTAACCCGTTCACGTACCACACTTTTAATAGTAATTTGTCATTTTGTACATCAACTTGCACCTTTCACATTCATAACAACAACTTAATCAGAGTCGGTATGGATTATGGGTTATCGACTTAAATAGATATGGTTTCAATACCATGAAATGAAATGGGGGTTAACGTCCTTCTATTCTGCACCGACTAGTCTAATGAAGACAGGCATACACAATGCAGTGTGCTAATAGAGGCATTTTGACCAGACAGTGGTACTACGGACTACTCTTATTTCATCTATATGCATGTCAATATGTACACGGGAGCTCGTTTTTTTTCGTTCCATCCGAACGACTAGACATTAAAACTGCCGATTGTCATTTGAATTGAGAGAGAGAGAGGGGGTAACGTTCACTCGACACAAACTAGATCATTTTTGGGACTAACATATGGTTCATTTTTATTTCAACAAATCGCTTACGCGTAGGGGTCTTTAGCAGGGGGAGGAAATCGGGGGACCCGGAGAAGACCTACGAGGTTTATATACATGGGGGTTTGGATGGCCGAATTATTGAAATAAAATTGAACCATATATTACTCTCTCTCTCTCTCTCTCTCTCTCTCTCTCTCCCCCTCTCTCTCTCTCGTCTTTAATACACTGCTCAAACTTGATCTAATGGTATATTCAAACGATTAATATTATGATGAGGTTATGGTGAAACAAGCCATTTTATTAGAACATTTATCTTCAGCGTCTAGATCATAAATCTGAGAGTTTGTAACATGACGGATTGATACGACAGTGTGTTTGTCTTGTAGAGATATTTATCGTTACATGAAAGAAAAAACAAAATGATGAATTGTTCGTGAAATCTTTGTACATCGTAACCACAAATTACAGCCTGTATTAGATAGCTATGGATATAATTACAGTTACTTCATAGTTATAAATGAAATATATTTTACCCACAATCGTCTTGATCTGGTACAAAGAACATTATGTGAAATATTGGATTAACTTTAAAGATACTATCTGTTTTAGGTAGGATTACTATTGGGAATTTTAAGCACTCGTGATACGAAGTAGATCTAAGAGCTAAAAAAACCTCAAAATATGTAAATATTGACATACCCTAGTGATCCAGATACAGTTCTTTATGGATCTAATTCAGGGGCAAGAATCGATTAAACATTATACTGCAATATAAGGAGAGAGAGTTAACGCCTACTCGACACAAACTAGATTATTTCGGTACTGACACATGGTTCAATTTTATTTCAATAACTCGCGTTCTCGTGTAGGGGACTTTAGCAGTGGGAGAAAACAAAAGTAAAAGGGAGAGGGGTATATATAAAACTCATGTATAAATCTAATCACTAAGCAGTATCGGGAAGAGTAGGCATACTCTGTCCCAGGTACGATACCAACCACAAAATAAATACGGAAAAGTAGGCTGCTAAACCCCATTTGATTTCATTTTAATATTAGCAATTTTGAACAAACTGTATTTTTCAATGTCCAAAATTGGTAATGCTAGGTTCACACTGTCGTGCGATACGTTACGATAGTAGTGTCTCTATTTAGTCCTAGATCTGCTACGTTTAGCTACGTTCCGATACGTTTCTATACGATCAACACGATTGCTACGACTGACCTCAATATATGATAAGACATGATAGGATCGCTACAATTACTCAACGATTAAAACCGCGATTTCAATCGTAGCACGAATCGTGATTGTGGGAACCTGGTCGGATCACCACGATTACTCAACAATTAAAACCACAATTTCAATCGTAGCGAGAATCGTGATAGTAGGAACCTGATAGGATCACCACGATTACCCCACGATTAGAACCACGATTTCAATCGTAGCTAGAATCATGATAGTGGGAACCTAGCATATAGCTAATTTAAGCTTAGATGGATGGGAAGTAGTTTTGTCTTAGAAGTTTTGATGTTAACAATCTGCATCTAGCCAAGACGTTACCCGAGTGTTTCACATACACTACAAACACCCCTCATTTATTATTTTAGAACACCTATTTAACCTGGTTACCTCTCATCTATTTTCAGTTAGACCAGCATCTCTAACTGTTCGTCCACCACCGATGATTAATGACCAGATAGACGCAAAGTGTTGGAACTTTACCCATGGTAATTGGAAAAAAATGGAATTTTACAGTCCCAATTATCCTAATAATTATCACAATAATTCAGATTGTGTACAATACCTGGAAGGTAAGTTTTTTACCAAAATACTCTGGTTTGATAAATGACTGCTATAAAAACTGTTTTGTTATCCTATCGGTAATGGGCTATATTTAACTCAATCTGATTAAAATACGGATCTATATTTCGTTTTGTTTTTTATACTTTCGATGCCCTACACTACATGAAGATCTGATAAGTTGTACTGGAAGGTCGCGTCAGAGTTCATAAGGACGACTTTTGACCCTATGGCATCAGACAGATTAATCAATCAGCGTTGACGTTTCTAGTGGCTTACAGTTCCGTGCATGGCAAGCCAAGAACTCGCCGTAACAGTTCTTTGCATTCGCTAATCCCTCGTTTCAACCAAACTGCGGTAATAGAACAACTCTTCCAGATCTTAGTATAATAAAGACAAGTAAAACGAAATTTTGAACTATAAAAAACGAAACGAAATAGGATCTGTGTTTTAACCAGATTGTATTTAAGTTTACACAAGAGTACGTAATTGACAGCCTATTACTCTGAAGAGTGGATTTTGGGAAAATGTTTTGTGAAATTAAAAAACGAATAACTATCAATCGAACTGATTTAGAACGGCCAAGGCAGATCGTCAATTTTATTTTGAAGTGTATAATCACTTCATTCATTTTTGAATTTTTGCTGACATGTATTATAATGAGATAGGGACTACACCAATATTAAAATATTGCCCTATGGAACCATTTGATGCACCCTTAAAAAGAAATAAACCCCCATGTTTTAGAAATTATCAGATGGGTCGGGATTTTTCAAGATGGCTTCTGGCCTGACCGCTGTGGGGTTCGGCTGACAAGGAAATTGGGCTTTGTCGTTGGCGTAAAAGAACGTTGATGCACAAGAGCCCTTGGTAGTTGAATTTCGATAGAACGTACATCACAATTGAAATGAATATTAACATGTGTGTGTCTCCAAATCACCAAATTATTTTGTTTTTCTATACTATTTCATACCGGTGTAGAAATGGACTAAACTATGGTTTTATTTTTAAAAAAAAACACAAAAAACCTTGGCAGTTAGAATTCGAAAAAAAGTAGACTGGAATGCCACTACCCGGGAAAAATTCACCCTCTGATTAAACTCGTAACAATGGAAATAAGACGTACCATATTCCACACAAACGTAGAAATTGACTAAAGTGTGTTTTTATAAAATAAATAAATTAAACAAAAGCTTGGCAGATGGAATTCAAAGAAATGGGCATAGACGCCGCTGCCATGGAACAGTTTTCCATTCTTATTACACACATTGAAATGCACATTACCATATGTTACCAACTTATTGTATTGACCCCATTCTGGGGGATTGGATGGCTGAATGGTTAGCGTGCGCGCGCTGTATCATAAAGTCTGTCATTGAGTCAACTGGCGGGGTTTCGATTTCTCGGTTGTACGTGACAAGGAGTAGGGTCGCCTGTCCAACCTCGTGGGTTTTCTCCGGGTCCTCAGGTTTCCTCCCACAGCTAAAAACCCCTACGCGCAAGCGAAGTATTGAAATAAAATTAAACCATATGTTAGACCCGAAATGACCTAGTTTGTGTCGAGTGGACGTTAAACCCTATTTCTCTCTCTGTCTCTGACCCCATTCTGTTCCGTACCATACCGATGTAGGAATTGACTTAAACTGTGTTTTTGTAGTATCAGTAGGAGTTTATTATTTGATTAGAAACAGCTACAAACTATACACGCACGGTAGCAAATATACATTTTACACATGATTGAACTACCGTAAACACGGAAAATATAATTAGTATTATGGACACCATAGTGAGTGGAGGCATGGCGCTTGTGTTATAGTTGGAACTTGGCCGACATTCTGTCTGAATCGTGAGATGTTCGCCATTCTTCGTAAATGACTTCCATCCTCTTTTAATCACAGCAAGGTTCGTACGAAAGTAACGTTCATGGCGAGATAGGAACTGTTACATTAGTTTACCCGTTCCCTGTTGGCAGACTAATCCAAGTCCAGAATTTATACTATCCTAGCAGGGTGCTTCAGCTAAAAAATCTTGTGAGGTATTTTATTAGCCAACGCCTTCTGTTATATAGTTATTGGACCAACTTGCTTTTGAAGTACGATTTTTCTCGCCTCGCTTTACTAAATGGTTCTAGAAGTTTATCTATTTTTTTTTATTTTTTTTTTACTACTGTTGCAACTTTTTCGAATCCCCGGTTGTACGTGACAACTAGTAAGGTCGCCTGTCCAACCTTGTGGGTTTTCTCTGGGTCCTCCGGTTTCCTCCCACTGCTAAAGACCCCTACGCGCAAGAGAATTATGAAAATAAAATTGAACCATATGTTAGTCCCGAAATGACCTAGTTTGTGTCGAGTGGACGTTAAACCTCATTTATCTCTCTCTCTCTGTTGCAACTTTTTACTGCTTAATTTATTCAAGCAATCACTTGATTTTTAGGTCTAAAAGCTAAGGTCCAGTGCAGATTTCGTCATAGGTCACAAGCTGTAAATGTAAATCATGTGACTGATGACGAGATTGTAGGTTAGGTTTAAGAATTAGCAGAGATGTTTAGTCTCCACGTAAGCAATGACCTGGGATGATTGTTGGTTAGGGTTAGCCTAAACTCGTGCCCTTACCCAAATTACATCTCGTGACCTAAGGCGAAATCCGCAATGGACCTTAGCTTTTAGACCAAGCCGGTCACCTGACCTATGCATAGTCCTCGACCACATTGGGTGGTGAGTTTGTATGGTCATTTAGGCCCCATAACTAGTGTTAGAGCCGACATCTAGTTGGTTAAAACTTTTCGCAGCTGATCTATCTCTTGTACTTGCCACCAATTTGGGGGTATGTTTATGATCACTACCTCAGTAACAAGAAAAACAAATCCATTAACATTTTCTGCAAACACTTCAGGTCCAATAGGTAGGACTTAGTTCGGTATACTATGAATTAGATCAGCAACATAAATACCCGTTACCCTGTGAATTGTATTAAACTTTTTAACACCAAATCTTCTAAAAGAGAGAAAAGTTGTTTATTGAGTTGAAGTTAGTTCTTCTCCTATCTACATTTCAGACGTGGAGCTAGTTAAACAATTAAAGAGGTTATCGTCCATCTGAACAGTCAAGTAGGGGAGGTAAAAAAAGTTCACCAAGATGGCGCTAACTTTTCTACCAGCTATCATAAGCCTTATTACACCTCTTTATAGCATTCATCTAGAATCTAAACTCATTCTACAAGTGGCTAATACTTGCTTCAATTCATTATAGCTACTAAAATATACATCAAAAGTATATACGACCCTACCGAGTGTAGCTATTAAGCACGATCACTACGCCAATCCGGGCGTTTTATGACAGGTTTTTATCTGTTGCCTACAGAAACATGTGTCGAATGATTTTCGGAGGTGGTTTATTTGTATCCGGGTTGCCAAGGTAAATAAGCGGCGATGTCAGTGGCTCTTGATCTCCTCAACAACAAAATAGTTTCATTCATGATATTCTGTTGTTGTGTCGAGTCGTCTTTCAAGAACGGCACTACGACATAAGGCATACAAAATACCAACACATATCACCTTTTGTACATATAAAGTCACCACCATAATCAAGCTGATACATGAATCATGTATGAAACCGGCAAACAGTGCCCCGCCTCACGAAATGAAATGAAATGGGGTATAACGTCCTACTGTTCTGCTCCTGACTGGACTAGTGAAGACGGGCAAATGCCATATACAGTCTGCTATGAATGGGATTTTGCCCTACAGCTAAGGGATCTTCAAGGTGCACGTCAATTTGTACACAGGACCTCAGTTTCCCATCCGAACGACTAGACAGCTGTTCTTATCCAGGCCCTCGATCCTGCACCACTGACAAGGAGGAACCTTGTCGGAAAATCCCGATCAACTTTCGCGGCCAACGCAGGGATCGAACACGGGAACTCCAGTTTAGTGAGCCGACGACTTACTCACTGAGCCACCGTGGCTCCCGCCCCACCAAACACCCGAACCCATAAACAAATATTCAATGCATAAAATTCTTATCTAAAACATACCTGAGCCCCAATATTAACCGATTCTCTTCGGAGGTCTTCTTTCGGTTTACATTTGATCTGAATTCCAATTCTAAACAATCTTGTGGGAGGGGGTGGATGGGTGAATGGTTAGCGCATGGACGTGACAAGGAGTAGGGTCGCCTGTCCAATCTCGTGGGGTTTCTCCAGGTCCCCCGGTTTCCTCACACTGCGATTTATTGAAATAAAATTGAACCATATGTTAGTCCCGAAATGGCCTAGTTCAAGTGGACGTTAACCCCCTCTCTCTCTCTCTCTCTCTCTCCCTCTCTCTCCCCTCTCTCTCTCTCTCTCTCTCTCACTCTCTCTCTCTCTCCCTCTCTCTCCTCCCTCTCTCTCTCCCTCTCTCTCTCCCCTCTCTCACTCTCTCTCTCTCTCCCTCCCTCTCTCTCTCTCTCTCTCTTCATTTATTATTACTCTAAAGTAATGAAGCTTTAAAGCAAGGGTCTTCGCTCAGACCGCTGTCATTCAATACTCTCTCTCTCTCTCTCTCTCTCTGAAACAGGTACCAGAAATATGCTATGTGACTGTAGATCAATCCCCAGTCACTCCCCCGAACAATAGCATTACTTATCACACATAATTATCTATATACTAATGTTTATCTACAGTTATATATCAGTACTGTTTTAGTCATGACTGTCAGGTATACACGTGATAAAATACCTGACGCACTCATCTTGCTGCAGAAAAAAGGTAGAATTATTACCTTCATCTTGTAAGATGGCTGCAATGATAGGAGGTGTTCATTAGAATATTTGGCAATCGTCACCCAGAACATGTGAATTATATAGTTAATCATTTCCATCCCACGTTATATCTCATCTGAAACAGGGTTTGTACTAAATGATAAGGCCAGCTCAATTTTTCGTCATCACGAGATGTAAATAGGGCTAACCCTAATCCCAACCCTAACCCTATACCTAGCCCCAATGTTTATCCTAACACTAACATACAATCTC